TGTTCATTGGGTACTGAAGAATTACGCCCTCCAAATTTAATCCACATTTTTGGATAGAGAATCACGGGGAGAAGTTGCATTTGGAATTGGGTTCATTCTTTAAGTTTTTCAACTTCATATCTTTCAAATCTATATTTATTTACATGTTGTCTCATCTGTATTCTAAAAATACAAATTAAAAATACAATAAATATATATTTTTATAATTAATTTATATTAAAAATCATAAAAATCTATAAGAATGCTATAATTTCTTTTATCAATTATTAAGAATTAACATTAATGCCTTTTTTGGTTTGAAGGAGAGGAGAGGATAAGAAGCTTCTCCATTTGGATAATAAAAAATTTGAGGGGAAATTAGGGGAGATGATCCATTATTATTATTATTATTATTATTTTGCATTTTGGTCTAACCAAAGGAAGGGAAAGGACTTTGTTTCCCTTAAACCAAACATGAGTTAAATGTATGAATTATTCTCCTATTTTAGTTTGATTTATCTAATAGGTAGTCTAGTTTATCAATTCTTTTATTCAGTCTAATTTATCTAAGAGGCAACTTGATATATTTTGTTGACATAAACCTTCTCTATATTTTATTAAAACATTAATACTAAGGGAGTTGGCTTTCTTAAACCTATTGGCAAAAGAGAGATCTTCAAAGATTATAATGACAATTAGATTATGAGATTTACCAAGAATATAGGCATTATTAATAGAGTAAGTGTTAAGTTTTAAGATATAAATGATAACTTCTAATTTTATTGTTATGAAGGAGTTTTCTAAATTAACATTGATTTTGACTCTTATTATGCTATTCAATTATTGTTTGTCAATGTCTCTAATATTTTAAATTACAAAGAACGCATGAAGAATTTTGTTCTAACTTAACACTGCAATATGTTAATAAGGATAGTCATATGTGTACTAACCAACTTCTCAAGAAAGGAATATTGCTTTCTTTAACTTTTGTTGTTTTTGATAAATGTTTATCTCTTATGATTACATTTTATTTTGCTTATATACTAGGGTTTCACATTCTCAAACCACTCTAATGAACTCTCTTTTATTGTACTAACATAATTTTGTCATTTTTTCTCAAAAAGAAGAAGAAGAGACAAAAAAGAGTAATAACTTTTTTTTCTTCAAGACATTAGTATTCCTCATTTCTATTTCAAATGTTTAATTAATAGTTTGTTTGGGTTGAGGGGAGGGGAAGATTTTTTGACTAATCAAATTATAATATTTATAAAAATGTTGTAATTTGATTAGTTAAAAAATCTTTCCCTCCCCTCTTGAAACCACCCGGATTGAAATTTACCAATGGCCTAATAACTTTTTAAACGAAAGTCCATGGACCTTTAAAAGCTCAAATTCAAGTTATTAATAATGGTTTGTTTCCACAATTATATACTAGATTTACTCACAAATCTTCATCGGTATGAGATTTGGGGCGTTATGCCTCCATTTCCCAAATATATTATAAGTTGTTTCTTTTCTTTATTTTTGATATTATAGAAATCCTCTTATGTGTATAAAAATGTAAATGATATTCTAAATTAATGCATGAAAATAAACATAAGTTCAGGTAAAAAGTTTTTTTCATAATTTTTTATTAAAAAATATTGATATGTATTAAAAAAATTATATAAGTATATTTAACATGTACTTTTAATTTGTATTTAATTTTTAAGAATAAATAATATCTTATATAAAAATTAAAAATATAACTTATTTGATTATATGTCTCTAGATGAGGGTATGAGTACTATCTAGTTTATATTTATTTTAACATTAATAATGCGTGAATGATTTTAATTAATTAATTGATTAAATCAAAATTAATATTGATATTTTTAATAAAAATTAATTTTTTTAAAATACATTTATTACACTAAAATCCTATATCATAACGCAAAAAAAAAAAAGAAAAAAAAAAGAAAAAAAAAGAAGCCTTTATTTATTCCTCCACTACACTGCTACAGCTACTGCAAATGCTGAGGGAAACGAGGGATTTTGTTTGTTGGAAATTGGAACACAATTATTTAGACTCTTTGAGTTGAGTTATTGCATTTAGGAGTACCTATGGAACGATATCATCACCCTTACTTTTGACATGCACCAGGAATGATGATCTCGAGGCCACCCTCCAGTCCAGGTGCAATTGGAACGGTATCATCACCTCATCCCATCCTTTCAAAATTGTAATTTCCCGCCAAGCAAGTTTCGTAACCGAGTGATGTTCGATCCTGACTTTGAATTTGACTATTAATATTAATTCTCTACCCTCTATGTATATAGTTGTAATATAATTATTTTTATACCATTTGATTCATTCTTTTGAAATTTACTTAATCTCTTATTGCAGTTTGAAGTCAGGAAGGACTGCTGGTTTTATGACAATCTCCTTATTTGTTGCATTAATATCCATAATATCTATGTCAACCAAATTAATTGTTTCATTTCACATCCACTTCATTTTGTTTTGGTCCCTGAATGAATAAAGAGCAACTATTTTGATCAATCATGCCCTTCAAACTGGAGATGACCAGCCATTGCCTAAAGCAAGTTCTACAAGTTTCAGCAATCAGCAAGTGCAATAAGCTGGTCGACAACACTTGGATCTGCAAGTGTGCTTGTATCTCCCAACTCATCTAACTGCTTGGAAGCAATTTTCCTTAGAATCCTCCTCATTATCTTTCCACTCCTAGTTTTTGGAAGGCCAGGTGCCCAATGTATCTTGTCTGGTGCAGCAAAAGCTCCTATCTGAAAGATGCAACCAATCTTAATCAAGTTAAACCTTCAACTCAAGAACAGTGTAGTATTATATCTCTAGAACAATTCAACTAAACCAGCAAATTTGTTACTAATACCAGCAGGGTAAAATCTTCTTAAACAAATTTTTAAAATGCAGAAACAACAGAAAACCAAACCTTAATTAGTGTTTTCATGTGAAGGACAAGGTGAATGAAAATTTTTAGTAGATTTAAACTCTAGGAAATGAAAATTCATGCACAACAACAAAATTCTGTATAAAACAATGACATAGGATGAAAACATGATTTCCAAGGAGCTCTACTGAGTGATAACTGCAAAAAGTAACTGTCTAATTAAATGAGCTTCATGCTTACGTTCTCCAAACAGAAGTTGTTTCTGATTTATCAATGTGTCAAACTCATGCTTCTAGATCAATGATTTTCAACAGGATATACATACTGTGTTACAAGAGTTTTTCTAGTTCAGCCACCAAATTTGATTCAAACCTGTTTTCTCACTGTGAGCATAAGACTTTTCCGGAGTTCTTCACTGTAGGGAACACCCTCCACAAGAGTGACGAAGGCATATATTCCTTGTCCTTTAACCTTATAGCGACAGAAAAAGAAAGTTCAGATATAACAACGATAAGATGGCCAAAAAAAAAAAAAGACGCAACAACAAAATGTTATGTGTGATTCAGTTCATCAACTGCCCATAATAAGTAATTGCAGTGTTTCAACATGTATTTGTATCTGTACAGGCCATAATTGTGAGCATAACCATGCACACTGGTGAGATAGACATGGATCGGGGATATTGACTACCTCATGCTCAACACCAACCACAGCAGCTTCTGCACATTGGGGATGAGAGACCAGAGCAGATTCCACCTCTGCTGTTCCAATACGATGTCCACTGCAAATGGTGAAAAGAAGCATGCATGAATTATAAATAAGATTGTAATGGTTTATTTCCTAACATAAGAATGAGTCACTAAGACAACAGATGAGATGGTTAGGAACAACAGCAGATCCTCCATAAAATCAGAACATGAAATACCTAACATTGATAACATCATCAACTCTTCCAGTCAGCCAGTGGTAGCCATCCTTGTCCCTGAAATAAAGACATGAGATGGTCCAACCCAGTATCTGGAAATAAAACTCCAGAATAGTAGTACATTCAACCCTAATTTAATTTCACATATAAAGTTGCAGATCTATAAAATGCAATTTTCCCTTTTAGAACATACCTGCTGCAGCCATCACCAGTGAAATAATATCCAGGAAATGGCTTGAAGTATGTTGTCTCATATCTCTCATGGTCACCATAAAGAGTTCGAAATGCTCCAGGCCACGAACCTTTCACACATAGATACCCACTGCACTCACCTTCAATCTCAACTCCTTTCTCGTCAACTATGACAGGCTGTAGTTAACCCAAAAAAGACAACAGCAAAACAGAAAGAAAAGATTAGCTAAAAGGGAGGAAAATGTTGAATAGCATTACTACTAAAGTACTAATATTTAGAACTGAACCTGTACTCCAAAGAAAGGAAAGGTAGCTGAACCAGGCTTTTGTGGCCAGGCACCAGGTAGAGGAGTAATCTGCAAAATAGCTTTCAAAGTGACTACAAATGTAAGCAGGAAAAAAATCATCAAACATTCCATGTTAACAGATAACTAGTTCAAACCCTAAGAAAAAGAAAACACAGAGAAGACATAAACTTGCCATGAAGCCACCAGTTTCTGTCTGCCACCAGGTATCAGATATAGGACACCTAGAGTCCCCAACTACATTAAAAAACCACCTGCAAGAAACAGGAATATGTTAGAATGTCATTCTCACAGTTGGTAATTCAGACTTCTGGATCAAACAAAAAGATGCTGCTGAGGACCTCCATGCACTTGGATTAATAGGCTCACCAACACTTCCAAGGACCCGCAGGGACTTGCGAGAGTAGCAAGTAACATGCTGCATGATCAGTGATTGAGATCAGTACACATTCAGTAAAATGACGTCATAAAGGCCCCTTCTCTAATCATTGAAAGTAAAACAGCCAGGAAGAGACCTGAGAGAGAGCCCACCTTCCCCCTTACTCATTCAAAGCTTAATAGCAAAACAAGATCAGATTCTTCACAGGCCTATAATGAACTTAATATATCATGCAATAAAACTTTCATTCCAAAATAGAACAAAAATGGGGAAATGCTTTCAAAGTCAATGCAGTTCCATTAATCATTAGTGCTCTCAAAGTTTAGGAAGCAAAGGTTGCACAAGGAAACTGGAAGAAAAAGATTTATGAAGGGTACTCCACTAAAGCTCTGACAAGCAAACTTTTGGGTTGATCTTAATAGCTAAACCTGCAACAAACAGTTGAACCAGAAATTTTTATTCAAGGTAAAACAGTTCTCTTGCCTCATCTCCATCGCGCATGAGAGACCGCACCAACGTGGGGGCAGTGTAGAATACGGTCACCTTGTATTTGTCAACAATGTCCCAACATCGCCCTGGATCAGGATAATTTGGAGCCTGAAGAAAAGACATGGATATATATTGCTATTAATAGAAACATCCCAACATATTCAAATCAAACCATGTTATTTCAAATTTTTATATTGAAAAACTCATGTTGTTTTAAAATTAGCAGATTCCCATATCTTCTCATAATCACTACTATACTATCGAAGTTTTCAAGCCAGTATGTTGCAGTACTACAGTCTATACAAGGGGACAGCACCTTAGTCTGTTACACTGTTGCTACCTACTAAAAAATCTTGCTATCATCTTCCATATGGTAGTCATTCTTCCAATTGCAATGTACTGCATATTCTGCAGTTCCATCCTTAAAAAACTATCACATTACATTACAAAATGCTCCTTACACACAGCCAAAGCTAGATTAGATTCCAAACTTTATAGAATTAGGTTATTAAGATGTCTCCATGGATGGAGGTAGGAAATTACCTTAATCTATTCCCATGTATTGATCTTTTCATTTTTTAACCCATTTTGATCTCTCTTTACTTTATCATAGCAGATATTTCCTCGGTACTCCCCCACTCTCCTGGTGGCTACCTTGGGGGCAAAATTTTGTGCTGGGTACTTACAGTTCAAGTATTTTTAGAGGCATTAGTTCATTTTCTTCTGATTTTTTTTCCTTTTTCCTAAAAAAAGATTAGTTGTAATTGTCTTTCCAATTAATATATTCTTAACAAAAACAAAAAATGAACACTTCTATCCAAATAAGAAAACAAAAACATTAGAATGGAAATTTCTAGCTGTTCCAAAAAAAAAAAAAATGAAATGGAAATTTCTAATTTTTTTAATAAATGAATCTTTTTTTTTTTAACTAAAACAAGAAATATCTTAGATTGACTTGGGACAAAAAACGAGATTATAAATCCGATCGTGAATGGTAAAAGCACAGCATGGTGCCTAAGAAAACATTAAGTTATTAGATAGAACACTACTTAAGAAAATAGAAACAAGTATCAAAGAATTAAAAAATCAATGGGAAAAATATCTTTAAAAAATCAGTTTCTAATTAATCAAATATGAATAAAGTTCATAATCCTTATCTTTTAAAAACTCTTTACTTAGGTTCTAAAATATTTTCTCCATATTCAAAATTATACTTGCAATTCAACACCAGAAAGAAAATCTAAATAAATAAAATTTAGAGGCCCATATTTACTATTATTCAAAAGTTTAGTGTCCAATACTAGATCCATCCCTCTCTGTCCCCAGTTAGACTTATCTCTTACATCATGGCACATAAATGTCCAGTTTCATAAGATATTTCACATCCATTTGTGTTTGTTTAGAAGCTTTGCACTTTCCTCCTGGCTAATAGTTTCCTTTATGGTCTTGTTGTCTAGTGTTTTTATGTCTTCAAGGATATCTAAATTTCTCAGTTAAATTTAGCAGGTTATGTTGATAAGCAATAACATTAAATTGATTTCAAGTTTAACCTCTTTTTCATCTCAAATGTGAATTCTCAAAGTATATACAGGTTGTAAATCCCTTACCCCCTCGAAAACAACAACAGTTGCTCCATTAAGCAAGGGCCCATATGTCACATAACTATGCCCAGTAATCCAACCACAATCAGCTGTACACCTAAAATCAACAAAAATATAATCTGCAACATTATATATCAGTAGATTATTTAGTAGCACAACTGATAAAGTTTAAAGAGAAAAAGGATGCCAAGTTTCAAAGGTACCAGTATACATCAGATGGTTTGTAGTCAAATGCATACTTAAATGTTGTAGCTGTGTACACCATATATCCTCCAGTTGTGTGGAGAACACCCTTTCAAAGATTCATATTAGGCTACACTAGAAGAAAATAGAAAAATTTGGAAAATTCAATATCAAAACAGAGGATGCTAGCTAGATACCTTTGGTTTTCCAGTACTCCCACTAGTATAAAGTAGGAAAAGAGGATCTTCTGCATCAACCCACTCAACTTCACAAGTGGATGGATATTTTGGGACAACATCCTGGATCAAAACCAAGAGAAATAAGCACAATCAACAGCCTCAAAAAAGGAAAAAACAAACAAGCATTATAAAATGAAGAAGCATCCACCAGAATTTTCAATTATTTTGAGTGACACGGCCTAATGCTAAGCTTCAAACAATGCAGTTATAAACATTACCAATTACTCCATGCAAAATTGGAAACTGCAATGATTTAGAACATATTATGCTCAATTCAATCTACAGGAGTAGAATCTTTCAGTTTCAGGAGGATGTATGAAGTGAAAGAGGCATTGTGTACATACCAACCACCATACATCCCTTCCTTCCTGCCAATTGGTGCTTTCCCTCTTCATAGCTGATGGGTTTTCGTAGGTTAGGCATACATCTGTGCAGAAGAAGACGAAGAAAGATATATCAATTACACTAGAAGATGTAATCACTAGTCATAGTGAACTATGCATTAAACCTGAAAGCACAGGGTAAATTTGAGAGAAACAATTTCAGGCAGCATAAATTTTAGGGACTATTACCCTGGTTAATTCCCAACAAAGTAGAATCTGCATAACCAGCACTTAACCTGGGTTTAGGTCAGGTTAAATGGCATGCAACTAAGTTCAGGTGATGAAAACAATAATAATGAGAACTAAAAAAAAGGCATAGATGACAATGTAAGACTAGCAACCAAATTTCCTAGCTAAAGAAAAAATAGTGCATGCTGAACTTAAAATCAGAGATGCAGATCACCCTAAAATGTGGGAGAAAAGAAAAACAGTGCTCAACTCAGAATATCTATGATTTCTTTGTTTTTACCAACCTACTGATATCCCATTCTTGGCAGACTCAATGAGGGCAGCATCAACAATGTCCTTAAGGTTGATGATCTTAGGACCTCTTTTAACAGCATTGCAAGTAATGACAACTTTGGGTTTGCAGTCCACAATTCGTTGAGCAAGAGATTCTGCAGAGAATCCGGCAAATACAACCTGTACCAGGGTCATTTATTGAGAAACAAAGGAAAGAAGTTAAAATTAGGTAACAAGCTTATTTATTTGGGGTGGGTGAGTACCGAGTGAACAGCACCAATTCGGGCACACGCAAGCATAGCAATGGGAAGTTCCATTAACATAGGCAAATAAATCACGACAGCATCACCCTTTTTAACACCAATATCCTTCAAGTAATTTGCAAGCTGCAGACAAACAAGATGCATAAAAACCAGCATTGAAGCATAACCCAGGAAGATTTCTTTCTCAAGTAAACTGAAGGCATAAACTTAAAACCTGGCAAACTCCGTGGAGCAGCTGGGAGTAAGTCAAAGTGTCATCAAAGCCAGGCTCATTCCCTTCCCAGTAAAGGGCGATTTTGTCACCCAGCCCAGCTTCCACGTTTCTATCAACACAGTTGTAGCAAATGTTGGTTATACCACCTTTGAACCACTGTGGAGTGAATAAACATACTGATCAGGCATAGTCCAAGGCCATGATATATTATATTTACAGGGGATAAAGTAATTAAGAAAAGCAGCAAAAACGGACAAACCTCAATCTTGATATTGCCATTCCGGACATCCAGATTCTCGGAGTGAACTTTCTCCCCCCATTTCTGCTTCCAACAAAACTGGGACGCAATGTCTGACCAGAATCCGGCAGGATCTTGAATCGACCTCGTATACATCTCCAGGTACTTTTTTTTTTTTTTTTTCCAATAGAAAAACCTCATATTAGAAATGGAAAATGGGTTTTCTCAAACAATTGGAAATGAATGGATGGAGTAAGAAAGGATCAACCTTTTGAGGAGAAGGAACGAGGGCCTGGCTGGAGAATTGTTCGCTGGGGAAAACGAGGTCATTTTCCTCGGATGCAAGAGCTTCCCCCAGTATGACAGCATTCAAATGAGAAACCTTTCCAGCCCCAGAAGGCAGAGTAGACATGGACTCCACATGTCTCAAGTGATTGGACGTTATAAGATTGTTGCCGCCGAACGATGCCATGACGGCGCCGAGAGCCGATCTTGGGGAGAAGGAGGCTGATGAAGAAGATTGGAATACCAGAAACTGTTTGACCTGTAAAGCGTACTGCTGACCAATTCATCAAAATTGATATACTATTACAAATTTGTGAGCGAAGATGGTGCTGCTGCCTCACCTTCAAATTTTTTTTTTTTTTAATTTTATCTTTTTGTATTACTATTTTTTTATTATTCCAAATCGGCAACTCTACTCTACCCGTTGAATTTAGTAGAAGTAAAATGCACATTGGCTCCTCTATGCACGTGGCGCAGATATCGTTTGAATCTGATGCTGTATGTTATTAGAGGACAGGACAGCGGAGCTAACTCCAACTAATTGAAAATGATACGTTGCGCACACGATGCCTGGCTGCGTCAGGTGAGG